TCGAACAGCATCATTCTTCGCCCGCGTTCTCTGCCAGTGAACTTTCTTCTGAAGTCTTTGAAAGCTTCATTGATGAATGTCTCAAAACACTCTCTTAATTCAAAGCTGGTTTGAATACAGCTTCTGACACAGTCAGGCTGGCTCTTCAATCTACTCAACAGCTTGATAAAGCTGGTTCTCTTGATGAGAATAATGAACACTCAGATGTCTACTGTTCAGATGAGACAATATCAGATTAATAGATAAAGCATCTCAAGATAATACTTGAGATGAATAAGAGAAAGTAAAGAGTTCTAGAACTTGAACTATAACTGAAAAAACTTCATTAACAGAGATTCTTTACAGATTAATTATAAAATGTTAACAATTATTCTGTCATCACATTAACAGTCTGTACAGTCACATGAGATTCTAATCTCAGTGAAAGATTGAAATTCAATCTTTATAAACTGAATAACTGTGTTGACAAGGCAATCTCTCAATTTAAGAAAGATATTAAGAATACTGTGAGATTAAACAGTCTGACTGATATATTCAATTACATCATATGAAGTATCTTCATGAAATTGAAACTGATTGATACACAGTGTTAATATATAATAGAGAAACAACAGATTCAGAACTCTCTATAAAGAGATAATAAATGAGTATTATTCTGAGATGTCAGAAACCAGTGACTCTACACATTCATCTCAAACTTCTTGAGTGCAGGTGTCAGAACATGTTTCTTCAAATATGATGAAAATCAGATCACTTATACTCTATGAAATGCAATTGAACAGAAATACTCTGTTCTTAAAACACAGTTACACTGTGAGACAGTTCTGGAATTCATGTCTCTTGATAACACACAGGTTATCAATCTACATACATTCTTTGATAAGTTTCAGTTCATTATTATAAAATTGAAGATGGTGAATGCTTCTCTTTCAGATGTATGAATATTTGATATCTTCTACTCAGTTCTACTCAACAATTGAAGAAATTATGTTCAGAAGAAGATAGAGAAGATACAGGATTTTAAATTCACAGCTGTGATATTGAATGTTGATCTTCTTATGAAGAAGATCTGTTCACAGCTTAATTCTTCAAAAGATAAAAAGAATCTACAGAATACAGATTCTACAGTTAACACTGCTATAACAGATACAATGATCACTACATCTATCAATTCTAATAACAATACATTGAATTCAGCCTGTGAAGACTGTACTGAAGGCTGTACTGAACATGATTATAATAGTACTCAAGAGAGCTTCTGAAATCATCAGAGATCAGAAAATTCATCTACATATTCTGAATATAAGAGATCTCACTTTAACATCTGTTAATTGACCAATTCAGACAGTGCTTCAGATAATTGAAGAATAAACAGTGCTGCAAGAATAAAGAAATTCAAAGAAAAGAAGAAAAAGAACAATAGTGAGAATAGAACTC